TATTCTATCGATTGAGCACAAGAAATCGCCAAGTCAACTGTTTCAACTACAAAATAGTGATCGGAAATTGTTAATTTGGCCAATTTAACACAAAGTTCAAAATATTCCAATTTCAAAATAGGGTCCAGAATGAACAATGTAGGCATTCCTGGCACTAAACTAACATTTCCTCTGTTCATTAGTTATGTTTTGAGGCTTTACAAATAAATTCCATTTTGATTTTTATTCACATAATGAATTTTTATTCACACCAAAAAATAGAAGATTTACTGTTATGCAATACTGTAATAATTGTATAAATATCATCACCATATTTGTGAATGTATATTAGACCCACCAGCTGACGTGTATTAGACGTGTGAGGTCGTTTATTTACTCTTGAATATCGGCAAAAAATTAACATTTCCACTATTTTGAGCTCAGTTTCAAGCCATTTCCAATGCTAAAACCAATCAAAATCATCTCTATTTCTGTAATATGTCTTCCATTCTATCAAATGAGACCAAGAAATCGCAAATACAACTATAAAAAACATACGAAAAAACACTGCAAAGTTGCTGTTTTAATCGAAAAATCATGATTTCATTTTTTTTCTCTCATTATGCACAGTGTGCTGCAGGATCTGTTTTATGTGGTGCACACATACCACATAGATGTATTCTCTCATATCTAGGCCCAAATGTACCACTCAGTTTATCAGAGTGAGCTGAGCTCATGGCGTAGATCTACGGTTTGGACCCTGAACGTAAAGCCGTAGATCTACGGGACGGACCCTGAAAGGGTTAAGTCAGAGGTGCTACTTAACCCTTTCAGGGTCCGTCCCGTAGATCTATGGCTTTATGTTCAGGGTCCAAACCGTAGATCTACGTCATGAGCTCAGCTCACTCTCATAAACTGTGAGTGGTACATTTGGGCCTAGATATCAGAGAATACATCAATGTGGTATGTGTGCACCACATAAAACAAATCCTGCAGCACACTGTGTATAATGAGAGAAAAAAAACGAGACCATGATTTTCGATTAATACAGTGACTTTGCAGTGTTTTTTCGTATGTTTTTTATAGTTGTATTTGCGATTTCTAGGTCTCGTTTGATAGAATGGAAGACATATTACAGAAATAGAGATGATTTTGATTGGTTTTAGCACTGGAAATGGCTCAAAGTAGCGGAAATGTTAAATTTTTGCTGATGTTCAAGAGTAAACAAACGACCTGACACGTCTAATACACGCCAGCTGGTGGGTCTAATATACATTCACAAATGTGGTGATGATATTTATACAAATATTACAATATTGCATAACAGTAAATCTTCTATTTTTTGGTGTGAATAAAAATTCAGTATGTGAATAAAAAATCAAAATGGAATCTATTTGTAAAGCCTCAAAATGTAACTAATGAACAGAGGAAATGTTAGTTTAGTTCCAGGAATACCTACGTTGTTTATTCTGGACCCTATTTTGAAATTGGAATATTTTAAACTTTGTGTTAAATTGGCCAAATTACCAACTTCCGATCACTTTTTGTAGTTGAAACAGTTGACTTGGCGATTTCTTGTGCTCAATCGATAGAAGTAATACTAGTGAAATAGCTAAGAATTTGGTAGACTGGAATAATGTAATTGGCCTAAAATGGAAGTCAGTCTGCAAAATCGCGAGAGCATAATTTCGTCAATTTTCCATCAAATTTCACACTGTTTTATTACCTTCACAAAAAAAAGACTCAAGCATTTCATAAGAAAAAATAATTTTTTTTTTTTAAATTCTTGGACACTGGGGCACCACTTCAGATTTTGGCCTTGGACCCTGAAGGGGTTAAATAGATGCCTGTATATTTCTAAATGCACCATTATTTCATTTGGAATAAGGCAGATTATTCTTGTAGCATCATGTAACTAGTTTGTATTGAAATACTGCCAGGATTTACTAATTTTCAACTGAATATTTTTCTCATTTTCAGCGTGGTGGATTTGGTCGTGGTTCAAAGAGGACTCAGTGAAGTATTAATAAACAAGAAAAATTATAATAAGATTTTTTTGTCCTTTTAATTCTGTGCAATTTATTCTTTAGTTTGTTAGAAGATATGACACAAGATTTGCAGTTCACTGTGGTAATATTGAAGGATTAACTTAATAGTTAAAGTAGATTACTGGCCCTAAGTCAACCCAGTGTGTGATTCAGAAATGGGGAGGGGTATATTTAAACTCACTTTTGCATCTTAACTCCAAATATACGTATCTATTTCCAGACCTCACAAACGAGAGTAAATATTTTCTTCATCAGCAGTTACAACATAGTTTTTATATCCTATGAGAAAACTGATGTTTATGCAGTATATGAATTATTTATCAATATAGGAGTCCTAGGACTAAACAGATGGAATTAAGTTGGCAGTTTACTCTAAAAAAAAACATTCAATAATTTTTCCATATTCTCTGCATCTGGACTAAATTCAGGGGATACCAGAATGATTTATATGAGGGATTCTTAAATAGCACTATCAAATTTCCATTCTGGTTATTTAAATTTTAGTAATGCAACTCTTGATTTACAATACACAAGAGTGAAATTTATATAAGTTTTTTCTTGCCTGAGTGGTGAGATAAGTAATACTTTTGTATCCTAATCTACTGTATCCTTCATATATAGTACAAATTTATGTATAGAAAAAATGTTAAATGGAGTACATGTAAAAGAAAAGTTGAGGGTACAGGTTCACTAAAATATGCTAATAATGAAATAATTTTTTTGAGAATTGACTACAAGAGTGGTAGAAAATGTAATAGTTTTTGTTCTCAGTTGATCTATTTCGTGGCACAAAGTACATACGTGAAGAAGATTCTGTTGATGGTAAGCATTTTTCTTTTGTGGCAGTGATGACATATTTTTATATTTAACACACTAGTAGTGCTTAAATTTCGTTCTTATTCCATCCAGGTGCTAGCTGCATAGGGTTAGTGCAACTTCAATTAAAACAATTTGTGCCATCCCAAATCTGAATTCTTTGGCTGAGATGACTGTTTTGCTGGACGAGGTATGTGGCTTTTTTTTTTTTTTTTTTTTTTTTTTTTTTTTTTCCTGATGTTGGCTTGGCAAATTTCGTAAATTTCAAGTAAAATTTAAATTTGTCTTCATATATGGTAGGAATATTTCATAATACAATTAAGCTTAAATGCTTTAAATGTTTATAATTTAATTGCAAATGTTAACTTTCTTGCAGAAAAAAGTACTATTAAACACTATCAAGAAATTTAAAAAATTCTGTACAATATTTTGGTTAACTTCTTGGTAAATGTGGTCTTTCATCAGTTTTGCTAGGTGGGGAGGAAGGAAATAAAATGTGATTGTTGTAATTGTCAGAATTTTCAGTTTTTGGGGAAATTAAGTAGGGATGATGAGGACAGTTCTCCCCAGTTTTGAACATATGGGGAATATTCTCACACATTAGGCTTTTGTATGCTGGAAGATTCTTTGAATGTAAAGAGTTTAGATAAATTTGAAACGCATTACAACCCGTTTGCTGTCCAGAATCCCAGTATTAACCCTTTCACTGTCCAGACTCCAGAAATGAAATTTGCTCCCAGCGAAATGGTAGAGGATCTTTCTCTGAAGGTTTTTTTTTTTTTTTTATTAACACATCAGCCGTTTCCCACCAAGGCAGGGTGGCGCGAAAAAGAAAAACTTTCATCATTCACTCCATCACTCTTGCCAGAGCCATGCTTACACTACAGTTATGTAACTGCAACATTAACACCCCTCCTTCAGAGTGCTGGCACTGTGCTTCCCATCTCCAGGAATCAAGTCCGGCCTGCCAGCTTCCCTGAATCCCTTCATAAATGTTACCTTGCTTACTCCATCAGCACATTGTCAAGTCCTAAAAACCATTTGCTCCTGTCTAATACTCATGCACGCTTGCTGGAAGTCCAAGCTCTTTGCACACAAAACCTCCTTTACCCCCTCCCTCCAACTTTTCCTAGACCGATCCCTACCCCACCTTCCCTCCACTACAGATTTATACGTTCAGTCATTCTACTTCATTCCACCCTCTCTACATGTCCAAACCATCTCAGTAACCCCTCCTCAGCCCTCTGGATAATAGTTTTGGTAATCCCACACCACCTAATCTCCAAACTATGGATTCTCTGCATTATATTCACACCACACATTGCTCTGACATGAAATCTCCACTGCCTCCAGCCTTCTTGTTGCAACATTCACAACTCATGCCTCACATCCATACAAGTGTGTTGGTATAACTATACTCTCATACATTACCCTCTTTGCTTTCATGGATAAAGTTCTTTGTCTCCACAGATTCCTCAGTGCACCACTTGCCTTTTTTCCCTTGTCAATTCTGTGATTCACCTCATCCTTCATAGACCCATCCGCTGACACGTCCTTTCCCAAATATCTGAACACATTCACCTTCATACTCTCTCCCTCCAATATGATATCCAGTCTCCCAATACCTAATTTTTTTGTTTTCCTCATTACCCTACTCTCCTTTTATCACTTTTAATTTTCTTTTATATACCTAGGTACCAAACTCATCAACCAACCTCTGCAACTTCTCTTCAGAATCTCCCAAAAGCACAGTGTCATCAGCAAAAAGCAACTGTGACAACTCCCACTTTGTGTTAGATTCTTTATCTTTTAACCCCAAACCTCATGCCAACATCCAAGCATTCACTTCTCTTACATCTCCATCTATAAATATATTGAACAACCATGGTGACATCACACATCCCTGTCTAAGGCCTGCTTTTACTAGGAAATAATCTTCCTCTCGCCTACATACTCTAACCTGAGCCTCACTATCCTCGTAAAAACTTTTCACCGCTTTCAGTAACCTACCTCCTATTCCATACATTTGCAACATCTGCCACATTGCCCCCCCCCCCCTATCCACCCTGTCACATGCCTTTTCCAAATTATAAATGCCACAAAAACCTCTTTACCCTTATCTAAATACTGTTCACCTATGTTTCACTGAACACTTGGTCTATACACCCCCTACCTTTCCTAAAGCCTCCTTGTTCATCTGCTATTCTGTTTCTTACTCATAGTTCTTTCAGTAATAACTCTACCATACACTTTACCAGGTATACTCAACAGACTACTTCTTTCAACACACCGGCCGTATCCCACCGAGGCAGGGTGGCCCAAAAGGAAAAACGAAAGTTTCTCCTTTTACATTTAGTAATATATACAGGAGAAGTGGTTACTAGCCCCTTGCTTCCGGCATTTTAGTTGCCTCTTACAACACACATCGGCTTACAGAGGAAGAATTCTGTTACTTCCCCGTGGAGATAAGAGGAAATAACAAGAACAAGAACTAGAAAGAAAATAAAGAAAACCCAGAGGGGTGTGTGTGTATATATATATGCTTGTACATGTATGTGTAGTGTGACCTAAGGAAAGTAGAAGTAGCAGACATCTGAAATCTTGCATGTTTGACAGAAAAAAGACACCAGCAATCCTCCCATCAGAAAAACAATTACAGGTTTTCTTTTTACACTCGTTGGCAGGACGGTAGTACCTCCCTGGGCGGTTGCTGTGCCCAAACCTACTACCTAGGACTCAAAACTTATTCCCCAAAATTTTTTACATTTTTTTGTCCCTATCCTTTATCAAAAGGGGTATTCATGCTCTCTGCCAGTCCTTGGTCCTTACCTCTTTCCCTACATTTATTAAATTAAAAAAACTAACCATTCCAAAAATATAAACCCCATCAGCTTTTTAAAATTTTTATCTTGACCCCTCAATCCCAGCTGCTTTACCCTCTTTTATTTACTCACGCCCCCCGCATTACCCTCACTCACAACTGGGTTTTTTCCCCACCCCCCCCCAACAATCGCCGTCTCCCACCCCGGAGGGACCCAAACAAGAAAAAATACCCAAAAAGAAAATACTTTCATCATCATTCAACACTTTCACCACACTCACACATTATCACTGTTTTTGCAGAGGTGCTCAGAATACAACAGTTTAGAAGCATATACGTATAAAGATACACAACACTCCTATAAGATGTTATTCCTCCTTGCCCTATACATGAAATCATAGCTTCCCTATCTTCAACATTTAACAGTTCCTCAAAATATTCCCTCCGTCTTCCTGATACCTCTGACTCTCCATTTAATAACTCCTCTCCTATTTTTAACAAATCCATTCTTTCCTTAGGCTTTCTCAACTTATTAATCTCACTCCAAAACTTTTTCAACAAAATTTGTTGATAACATCTCACCCACTCTCATTTGCTCTTTTTACATTACTTCGCCACTCTTTTAACCTTTTTTTTTTTTCTCCATATACTACTCCCTCGCATCATTTCTTTGTAAAAACCTCTCATATGCTAACTTTTTCTCTTGCTACTCTACATCATTCCACCAATCGCTCTTCTTCCCTCCCACACCCACTTTCCTGTAACCACAAACTTCTGCTGAACACTAACAATATATTCTTAACCCTTAAACGGTCCAAACGTATATATACGTTCACTTGCGTAGTGCCCCAAATGTATATGTTTTATTTTTCCTGCCTCCAAATTTGGCAGGATTGGCCTGAGATGCCTGGTCAGCATAGAATTGGTCTTAACACTCGGTGTGCGCAGTATTAAAAAAATCTGGGACCACTTAGTACCTTCTGGGAGCACCAGTTAAATTGAGCACCAGCTAGAGCAAACAGTGCAGCAAACACCAAGGATACACTGATGTAATGTCATATTAACACTTCTCTTTTAAGAGGAAAGTGATGTTAATCCCAAGTTTAGGGTCTGTCGATCTCTATCTGTCTCTGTCTATCTCTATCTCTGTCTTTCTCTATCTGTGTATCTGTCTCTGGCTTTGTCTGTCTATCTCTTTCAATCTGTCTGTCTCTGTCTCACAGGTACACATAAATACACGTAGTATAAATTACCGAGGATAACCCAAAAATCCAGACAAAGTGCTATACTCTGCTTGAAGATGTGAGTAAAGGTGATGACACAGTCTTGTGTCTATCTGAGACAGAGAACTAGACGGATAGACA